GGACGCACCCTTAAGCAAGTTTGGATTTGCCCATTACAGTATGGCAAGGTTTTATTTTGAATTGTCGAGGTTAAAAATGTGATTGAGTATCTGATAAAAACATAATCAATTATTTCACATACACTATTGTATAATGTAAGGAATAAAACGATGTTGTTTTTTTTAAATGTGAGATGCATTATGTCGAGGTATTGATTGAGTGAATTTGAGCAAATGACTTTTTGAAGGAGTTTTTTTTAAAGTGAAGTGCAATAAATATTTCAAATGAATAAGTAGTAACTTTGTATAAATAATCTGAAATTGTCATCTGAATGCATTTTAATTTTGAAAATGTTTTAGGTACTGATGGTTTGATGAAGTACTAATAGGGGGATATAGCATGAAAGGTATTTTAAACATGTGATTCAGTACTGAAAGGTATATGAGAAATAACTTTTATACAAAGTATTTAAAAATGATGGAGTGCACACATTTGGAAAAGAATAAACATGCATCATTTAAACTATTTCTACAATTAATCATTCATTAACTGCAAGGTGCAGTCATGTGAGGTTCAGATTAGGCTTTCTTGGCGCAGGTACAAATGTGAATTCTCGCATATCAGACCAGTGTGTTGGACAAAGTCCTATAATTGTTACAGCATCGTAATGAGATGAAGACATGCGACCAACACAGACATTTACTACGCTAAAGGACTTGTCAACTGTTTAAACATGTAATGTGAGCGTTGACTTCAGGCCTTTCAAGTGCATATCTTGATGTCGAGTTCGTAATGGTCTCGTTATGGGATTGTTCAGGACGTGTAATTTCATGCACAGGATTAGCTTTGTGGGCTGCTCCAGTGTGAGGCTAGTATGTGTCCCTGTTTCACGAATAATGAAGACTATTTGTTGTTTTGTGAACACACAAACCTCTCAATGAGTATACATAAACTATGGTGGATTGTTTTATTGTGAACACACAAACCTCTCAATGAGTATATATAAACTATGGTGGTCAACTGTTTTTCACAGTAAGTACCAGTGTATGCCTAAAAATTTGTAATTGTCTGGGAAACAGAAATTTAAGATTTATAACCCATGTTGAAAGAAGTGCTATCATTGGCTTTGTATTTTATAAATGAGAACCTATTTTTACAGTTAAATTGCAGAAGGCTTAAAAGTGCTGGCAAATATGTTTTCAGGGCAATGTAATTGCTTTGGATGCTAATGAGATTATTCATTCTTATGACACCCAGATCAGATGTGGGTATATCTTTGCAGTCAGATTCATGCATCTGGAGAGGTTTCATTTGTTAAACTGTCACGTTCATGGTTTTCTCTGACCTGACAGACATTTAACTCCAGTTCCCAAGACATATTATCTCTGGTTGTTGTTACAGATTATCTAACTCCAGCGTCAAGTGGATTCTTGAGGATAGGATATCAGATTAGGATTCACGGTATATTTCAGTGTCAGAAGTTGCAGCCGTTGAGTCATTTTGGGGAGAAATTGTTGACTGACACCATTAGGGTTGCACTATATTTCAGGCACTGTAACAACTGTTTACCCTTGAAGACCCGGGTCTTTAGAAACCCATGCTCCTTGTAAAATGTGACTAACAGGATTCTGTGGTCAGGCTCCTGACAATGTTGACATGTCATTGTATCTTAATTGCATAGATTGATGCTCATGTTGTTGATCACTGGACTTGATTGTATACAGACCGCCGCCATATAGCTGGAATATTGCTGAGTGTGGTGTTATTTAACAACAAACAAACAATTTCTTTTACATCTTCCCAAAGGGAGGCTAAAATTCTCTGGTGGTAAATCTTTGAAGTGCTATGTTAAACAACAAACAAACAAATGTAATATTGGCCTGTATAACTGAATTAACTGGTAAACAATATGCAAGAAAAAGAAGATGATGATGATGATGATGATGATGATGACGATGATGATGATGATGATAACGATGATGATGACGATGATAATGATGATGATGATGATGATGATGATGATGATGATGATGATGATGACGAAGATGATGATGATGATGATGATGGTGATGATGACTACCATAATGACGATGATGATGATGACGATGATGATGATGATGATGATGACTACGACAATGACGATAATGATGATTTGAAAGTATTTTTAATGATACTGAATGCACAGCTAAAGCTGATGTTGGCAATGATCTGGGAAGGGCAAGCTCAGCAGAATATATGATATACAACCAAACCCTAAAAGTCAGTGAGCATTACATATTTGTAAAATGTACTGCTTTTGTAGCTTCAACCATTTGTAAAATAGTCCCCTTTTTGGCTCCAACGTGTATGGTTGAGTTTCAAGTTTCTCATGATGACAAAGGAAGGCAAACAAACACATATCATGTTTGTTAAACTTCTATCCATTGATGATTTCCAACTAAATCGTCTCCCATTCAAATGATTGTTAATTACATGTTATCAAGGGTTCTTTATCTTGTATTGTGCCATCGAAGACCTAATGTCAAGGCAATCCAATATGGAGTATGTGCAGACACTGTTTCTGCCCTTTGTGATTAGAGAGTTCCTTAAGGGTCGTCAGGGTAACCTGACGATAATGGCCGTCCAGCATTCTTCTCAGTTTGTAACTCACCTTTAGTTAGGATAACTAGAAACATAGTGCACAGTCAGGCAGTGTTCTGATTGGCTCGGAAATAACTTTGACCCCTTGGCAGTTGAAGGTCAAGATTTGTAGCTGTTAATGTAAGACAAGTGAAGTCAGGCAGTGTGGTAATGAATTAACTTTCATTATATTGAGGTTAGGTTCATGTTAATACCTTTGTCATATAAACTAGATCTAATTAGGTTCATGTAAAACAGCTAGATTTTGAATAAAACAACTAGCCTGCTTGGATATGTACTTGTCTCCCACCGTCAGGCAAGTGGTGGTTGGGGTGTGGTTATTGTATGTGTGTGTAACCGAGAAATCATTGGTAGAATCAATGGGCTTTAAGTGGCAAGTTTAGGTTACATACGAGGTCCACAGATTTGGGTGATATCTCCAAGTATGTATTGTTGATGTATATTTTCTCTCTAATTTTACAAAATGAACTCTAGTTACTGCAGTTTTACTTATACAAACTGCACTTTAGAAATGGCTTGTGAAATCCAGACATTATCATAATGCTTTAAGGGCTATAGGGTAGCCTAGTGGTTAAAGCTTTCGCTCGTAACAACGAAGACCGGGTACAATTTCCCACATGGGTTCAATGTGTGAAGCCCGTTTCTGGTGTCCCCTGCCATGATATTGCTTGAATATTGCTAAAAGCTAAAAACTAACCTCACTCACTCACACATACATAGTGCTTTAAATAGCAATAATCAACAATAACGTAATGTAATCATAATGCTATATATTTGTCAATATTTATCTACTGTTATTCTGTTTTAATCTGGTCAACTCATATGGTGGGTATCATTGTCAAATTAAATTTCCTAAGTTTTGCAAGCGACAAATTCATTTTTCTACTCACACTTATCTTTTCCTTCTTTCATAACACCCTTGCTGCAAGGTTTAGATATTTAAAGTTACAGAAATATACTGACAAATTGACAAATGGTCTGCTTATGCCTTTTGGACAGATATAAAACTAATCATCTTTCAGATACTGTTAAATACATTCTTTCTAAAACTGTAGAAACAGTAGGTGCTCACTTCAAATGGAACTGACAGTAGTAAGTCTTTCAATCATATTTAAAGTGTGAATTGTTGATATTTGTTGGCAGAAAACAGGATTTGACATTCATACATTGAGAAAACGACATTCTTGAGTGAACAATGTTAATGTACATACATGTCTCTATTTCTCGTCTTTCCTTTCTGACATTTATGTATTATCTGTAAATAAGTATACATGTAAATCGGTGGGAAAGGGTGATCAAAGTTGAGATAACTCACACTTGATCCTTTTCATGTGACTGAAAAATGTTTTGAAAAAGAATAACATTGCATGTACTGTCACAGACAATAACATCAGGTCGTGACCTCTCAAGTTCACAATATTTGCTGAAGGCTTTTCATAGCTGTTGGTTATCTTGAGAAGAGAATCCTTGACAGAGTCATTTGATCACGGCTGAATTGGGATTGACTGCCTGTCAGGTCTGAATTTCTTGGAATGAATGAATGTTTTCAATTCTGATAACCAAACACTACAATACGCCTGCACCTGTTGGGTGGACAGAACATGGAAGACTTCAGATGAAACACAGGCCATGCTTTCAAGCTGTACCGCTAAACTGTTTCCATCTTCACTTTACTCTGAAACATGCGACATGATTCGTCAACGTTTTGCTCTATATATGTGTGAGTTGTGTTCTCCGACAACCTGGTGATCGTGATAAATGTGTGATCATCATTTCTTGACAAGCGCTTCATCATCACTGGTTGTACAGAAATATCTTGTGGTACATTTACTTTGTTCTAACTCGGCCATCTTCGGCCATGGTGTGAGTAAAATGTTCATCTTATGTCAGTGTTTTTTTCAGACATAGCGACAAGTCATTCCATTGTTTTATTTGTTGAAAATATGCCCTACACAGTTGTCATAAATAGACATTGTTATATTTGTTTGGCATACTGGTTTAAATGTTTTGTTCTTAAATTTCTGGTGTCCCCCTAACATGTAAGTTACAAGTGATATTGCTATTTTTTGAATGTTGCTAAAAGCGTGTAAAACCAACTCACTCACTAATTCTTAACATGTAAGTTACAAGTAAAGAAAATATTGTTTCCATGTCATTAAAAGCATTGTTGTCTTGGGTACTTTCTAATTATGTGCCAAAGATTATATGAGTCTATTGCTGAGATATTGCTGAGATATTGCCAAGATATGTCTGAGATATTGCTGATATGTCTGAGATATTGCTGGGGGATATTGTCTGGGATATTGCTGAATATTGATTGGCTAGATATGCTGAGATATGTCTGGGATATTGCATAAGCGTGTATTGTTTGTATTTTCAGCAGTGGATGTACCCATGTTGGAGTGTGAGTTATTTTCATGCTGGGTTTAGACTAGCATGAAGAATGATGGTGGACTTCCACAACCACGGCAGTGTCGGCAGAGTCTTCATGACGGGAGTACTTACTGTCATCATCTTCGTCATCAGCGGACACGCACTAGGTAAGTCAATGTCATATTGGTAGCTCATGTCGTTTAAATGTGTAAGCTATCAGGTATGTTGCCTTTGTAGTTTTCAAAGTCGGATTTGATGCTGGATTTGATGCTGTTTTGATACATTTTTTGTTTGCACATGTCAGATTACTCTGGAAAGCTCAAAATGATACAGTTCTGACTGACCTGGATTATGATCTCTTCATATCTTGGAATAAACATCCTGAAGACGTAAGGGAGATAACTGCAGGAGCAGCTATTGACTTTTTTAGACCACATTTCCACTTTAACATTTCTGACTTCATGTTCAGTAATTGATCTTGTTGGCTTATAAATATATAAATATTATGGTGTAATATTTATTGATTTCGGTTGATTTCTATGGACGGGTGACATTTTGAATAAGTCACTTTGAGATGATGAAAGGATGTAATTCAAGTAGATCTTGTCTTACACCATGTGAATATATCAAGTGTTATTCACTTGTAATTTTAAAGCTGGCAGTTTATGTTCCAAGGGAATAAGTATTTCACTGGCTCTTAAACAAAGATATCTTTGTCAACTGAAAATGATGATTTTCCTAAGTAGAATGAAGTTCTTCTTGACAGAGGGTATAAGTTTCATCAAATATACCCAACACAAGAGTAGGTAATGAAACCTATAGGATAATTGCACAGTTACTTGTCCATAAAGATGGGAACAATTGCGTGAGGCTATTCTTGCTGTGATATTTAGAAGCTGTTGATTGAAGAGCAGTGATCCGAAGAGATTATCAGACAAAATTTCACAGTTGGCAGTGGTTTGAGGCCGGGCTAGGACAGTCTGTTGTCAGAAGGTAGCGTGTGTGGTCTATTCAGCCATGTTTTTCATCAAAGTGTTAAAAAGTATATCTTAAAAATAGAGATCTGCTTTAAACAACTGCCTTCAGAAATTGACTTTCACAGCCTGTTTTATGGTCTCATTATGATTGCTGAACGTACCTGTCGAGGTTCAGGTGAAACTGATGGCACTTCCACCCATCTTATCAGAGGTAGCTTGGCAGGAAAGTGGTCCTCAATGAACGATATCAAATTTGCATATACATACAGGGTTATTTTGATTCCAATCGGCCACAGCATGTGAAGAGGGAGAATTTATTGTACAAAAGCAGCCACAGGGGTGTCCAAACCTTGAAAAGGACTTGATAAAAGGAATAAGATCAAGAAACAAGCTGCCACCATTTAGCTGGAATATTGCTGAGTGGGGCGTAAAATTAAACTCAATCACTTTTTGAAGAAAAGAGATACAGATTTCCTTGGAAGGAAAATTTTTGTAAATGAAATTGAAGAATTGTTTTGCAAAAGGTGCTGGTGGATGTAGATAAAATAATAATAATAATGGCAATTTATGCGCCTGTTCGACACACTTGTGCATGCTCAAAGATGTATAACTGAATTTGATACTTTTCACAAATCTTGTAAAAGGGCATACCATCAGACAATGTTCTTCATCTTCTTCTGTTCTTGATAGTTTTACAATAGGTACGTTGTGACCTAGCAAGATAACTAGGTATTGTCAACATGTGCAGCTGTGAAAAGATGTTTTGGTATTCCTGTTTTTGAATTTTCTCTTCACTCGAGAGTCCATTATCAGGGTCAGTTTGTATATTTAAATCCTTTCCTTATTTAAATGTACCGTGATCTTAGCAAGACATGTTCTCACGGACTAACCGTTATTTATCACAATCACTAAACGCCTCGAGGGGGAGGAAGAATGGATCCAGAATGGATAGATCCAGACGTGGGATAGATCCAGACGTGCACATTTTGTACAGTGTAAACTGTTGATCTGTTCACAGTGTGTTTACCAAGGTGGCTGTAAACAATATTTCTTCATTCTTGGTGTTGTAAATCACAAAAGTAAGAAAACATGACAGCGAAACTCAGCCATCATAGAAAATGGCAAGAAGTGTGTTTTGATCTGCTACATGCTTGAAACTCTTTGAGCTTTGGAAGAGGTGTAGCTGTTTTCTCTCAATACTTTAATATCAATATGATTTGCAAGAAAGCGTTCTGGCGGCAGTGATGTGTTGCTATAAATAGCTGAAGGTCAGGACACGCGAGTGTGATGGCAGTTTGAGATACATGGTTTCAAAACATTGTGCAGCTTTAAAACATATTTAGTTTATTATTATTGTCCTCAAGCCTAGGAAGCAAATCTGTATGTATATAAAACCCACAGAAGTCAGTCATATTTTCTGACATTTTCTTCATAAGGTTGGACAGGGCGCGCTGTTCATGTAGAAAACATCCACGACTCAGCACAAGATGTTTGTGTGTTTTGGCCTAATCATTTCCGTTTGGGTTTCTATGTTAACACCCCCACATCTCCAACTCTCTTTAAATATGATCATACTCAATCACAATATTTTCATTCCTTGGAAAAAGATTGGTTCCTGGTGTACCATCTGTGAGAGATCCAACGCCAGGCCTGCTGGCATTTTGGTAAACAAAACAGCCGAGTTTTTGAAGATGTGATTAAGATTGCTGACTTGTCCCTGATTATTGTTTGAGCTGCCTCAGGGGTCTATTAAGAAGTCAAATGAAGACATGATTTTGTTAGTTCATGCACCCTGTAGCTTAGGATAGGAAAATACATCGTGCAGATGACTTTAAAATCATGTACAATAATGATAGATACATCATCTTCGGTATTTGTTATTGTTTGGTCAGATTCAGGATCTGCTCTTTAATACCTTATTATAATTTATGTATTCAGTCTGCAGCAATTGTTAATTGAAGAGATGCTTACACTTGTGCAGTTAGGGATGTGCTTAGCTAGTTTCTTCACTCAACAGGAAACCGTGTTAGATAGTTGGATGGATTGAATGTTTACCAAGATAAGTCCCACATGAAAAAAAAGATTTTCAAAGTGATTTTCACACTTGTGATTGTTTATTTGTTTGTTTAATGCCACACCTAGCAATATTCAAGCTATATGGCGGCCTTCTGTAAATAATTGATTCCTTACCAGACAATCTAGTGATCCACATCATGAACATTGAGCTATGAATTTGGGTTACGATGACATGTGGCAAACCAAGTCACTTTTCACCCGATCCCGTTAGTCACCTCTGACGATAAGCATGGGTTGCTGAAGACCAATTCTAACCCGGATCTTCACGGGAGTAGTGATCGCAAGTGTTAAAGATCAAGTGAATGATGTTTAATGTTATGTCTTTCATAGTGTCATGCATGGTGTCTCACTGGATTGCCATGCTGTGGCTGAACCCCACTCAGACACAGTACACCGACCCCAACCACCCTTCATTTATCCCCTTAATGCCAGGGGCAGGCAGGGCAACAACAAGTTCCATTTTTAATATTTTTTGAGTATCACACTGAAAGGGATCAAACCAGTGAAAATCCACTCTCCAGGCAGACAATCTAAGCACTTGATCCCGGAAGCAGCGCAGCTGTGAAAGGGGTTTAGTCATTCTATTACCTGTGCAGCTTGTAATAAAACTGTGGTCTATCAGCTCCCAGTATGCCCTGATGTTTTCCCAAGGCCAACTGCACAAAGTGATTTGTTGATTGACTAATCAGCTAGCCATCAACAAAGGGAACTGAAAAATGTGGGTCGGCTGAATTCCGAGTTCTATAATACAACTGAGATGTTTGTTTCTGAAGGAAATGTTGGCACACACACAGTCTCATTTCAACAAGAGCTCCACTCATACATGTTAAGGGCACTAATGGTTTAACATATGGGGCGAGAGGTGCATTTTCTTAAACAGCCGTTGCATTTATTCTATGACAAACAATACCAACTAAATCATATAGCTAAAACTCATGCAAGTTGGATTGAATTTCATATATTGTTACTCATAAATCTCTAAATGTTTTAGCTTGACCAGATTGCAGTGTTAATCATTTAACTGTTATAACATTTAATTCAACTGTATTAAGTGCAAATATTCAAATAATGAAACAAATTAAGACGAAAACATGAAACAGTGCTAGAGAATAACAAATCTCGTATCTTCGGAAGCACTGTCCATTGGGTGTACAGAGCAAAATCGTGGCAAAACTTATGTTTTGGAACAGTGAAAATCAGTTGTAAAACCAGGTGGTCAGGAATAGTGGTCTCAGAAAGCATTTCAACAGTTTCTTCCCTGGTCATGTGGTGCTATGATGGTATTACCAGATGTGTGTGTGGTGGTATGAAACATACATAACCCAGTACATGTCGCTGTAGAGTTGAATGTAAATGTCGGGACATGATCTATGAGAAATCTGACTTCTTCATACAGGACTGTAAAGGATTGGAACTGTCGCTTTTGGATTACCTGGGATATTTTGGATGTTTATTGTTGATGTGGGTTAACTTTTATCTGAATTAGAGCCACTAAGATTACATGTGCTACCTTCACAAACACCAGCTGGGTGTCAACCATCACCCCCAGGATTTAGTGGTGTTCAACCATCACCCCCAGGGTTTAGTGGTGTTCAACCATCACCCCCAGGGTTTAGTGGTGTTCAACCATCACCCCCAGGGTTTAGTGGTGTTCAACCATCACCCCCAGGGTTTAGTGGTGTTCAACCATCACCCCCAGTGGTGTTCAACCATTTTTAGTGGTGTTCAACCACCACCCCAGGGTTTAGTGGTGTTCAACCCCATCACCCCCAGGATTTAGTGGTGTTCAACCATCACCCCCAGGGTTTAGTGGTGTTCAACCATCACTGGTTGTTAAAATTAATTAGTTAATTCAATATTTCAAATGAATTTCTGAAAATGAAGGTTTCAGTGAGTAGACATGTGTGTACTTAGGTCAGGGTTCAAGTGGATCCACAGCTCCAAGATTGGTCATGCAGAATTAATCAATATTTACTCATTGAAAAAAATAAAAAAAAAAAATAGATAAAAATATTATCTCACTCAAATGTTTCAATAAAGTTAGTACTGAGACTGTTCAAGAGTTGATGAGTCTTAAAGCACACCAAGAAATCATTTTATAACAAATACATTTT